TAGGTTTCCATGTTCTGCCATGGTTCCTTGCTTCCTTATTTCTTCTTCTTCATCTTCATGAAGCAACCCATCTTGCTCCCCCTTTCTTCTATACTTTGCCTTGTCTCCACTCAGGCCTTCATATTCCTCCTCTCTTCAGACCCAGTATCCCCCCTCCAGAAACCTTCGTGCCTTACCCTCCCTCCCCAATCTGTGTGTTCCTACGCCCCTCCCTATGGACTCTTTAGAACTTCAGTGTAATCTTAGGATTCTACTCATCAAGCTCCCATCCCTCTCCTCAGTGGTACTGGGAAGGAAATCTAGAATCAGGGTCACACTGCAATGAATCAGACTTTGGTGACTTGAGGGAACCCATTTCCTACAAAGCTCATTTATGTAACAATGAGTCGCTATTCTACTTGGTGTGTCAAGAAAGGAGAGCTTGGATATAGGACTAGAATAGAGAACTAAGGCATAGAGGGAATTGGGAAAGGAGTAGTTGAGAATAAGGGAATCTAAGGAAAGGGAAACTGAGAATTTGGGGAATGGATGATTGGTGTTGTAGGAACCATGGGGGAACAGAGAAAAGAGATGAAAAGGAGAGAAATCATGGGGTGACGATTGCAAGACCAGGCAGATATGCAACAAAGATGGGGGTGGGGTGAAGAGGATGGGAAGACAAAGCATTGAAGAACAATATCTTTTGCTGATGGTTAATAGGGAATGAGAATATGTGTGTGTGCACTGGTTTTTGTCTCCTTCCATATCAGGTAGGTTTCATGGCTTTTTATTTTAAAAAATAAATTTATTTACTTTTACTTGTATTTATATCTGCCCTTTCCATTATCCTTCCCCACCCCCACTGAACCTAAATAAAAAAAAATTTGAAAAGTAAAACCCCCATCATAAACACGTGTAGTTCAAGAAAACAAATTCCCACATTGGCTTTCATGGCTTTTTTTACTTCTAAGATTCTTACTTAAAGTCAATGTATTCTCAGTCCCCATTGAGGCAAAAGAGAAGGAGTTTCCTCCCTGCCCTTTCTTCCTTTCCCAGGTACAGCTATGCCTAGAGGATGTGTGTCAAAGAAGGAAGGCTGAGTTCTAGGGTTATGAGGTTAATAAGTGACCCCAATGGTAGCTCATTTTGGGATAAAGGTCAATCTATGGTCACTTATTCCTTGATGCAAGGGGATGGGGGAGGCACAAACCTCTGGTGGCTCTCAGTAACAAGATATGTTATGACCATTAGAGATATAGTGTTTCTGCACCCTGGGAATCAGCACAGCACAGTCCAATCCTGCCAGGATGCAGTTTAATCAGGAGAGGAGAACTGGACTGATAAGAACCCAGGAATCTGTACCCTGACTGACACTCTCTTCCAGTTCTAACTACACCCACCCTACACTTCTCTTTCAGGCTCCCTCCTCTGATTTGTCTTCCCTCTATGCTCTGAAGCTAAGAAATGGACCATGCTTGCTCCCAAAGAGGCTCCTGTGGCTGGGCCCCTTTCTTCAAAAGCTGAGAACCTACTCACATTTAGCTTTATGTGGTTAAGAGCAGAACCTGGAGGCTCAGTCTGCTCTCCCCTATTTCCAGCTGAGCTATGGCTTTATGTGGTGTGGAGAAAGTGTATTTGAAGTTAGAGCAGGAGTGTGAAAGGGAGCCAGGCAGGGACTGTATGGGTGGTTTTCTTAGAAGGGAAAAGGTGGTGACTCAGAGTCAAGTTAGGGAAAAATCGAGCTCATTTGCTCCCTCTTTGCCCTGCCTGACTTTGGCCATGAGCTCATGAAACAGGAAGCTGTGTCTGGCCAGAGAAAGACAGGCCTGAGCCATCCTTTCTAATTGTTTTTCTCTGTAGACTCATGGGCCCCCTGAGGCCTTAGGACGTCAGCAATTGCTGGTCTTTTGGCATGCAATTGTGACCCCTTCTCCTCTCCGATGAATATGATGAAAGGAGGGTGTCATCGTTTTCCCCATCTGGAAGCTGCTCTTTGCTCAAATGAGAGGCTCCAATCTGGGCAGTAAGCATGAGCACCAGTCCTTCCCCCTCCCCCCCACCCCTTCCTCCTCTGTGTACCTTTCAGCCTGTGATACTTAAGTTTTCAGAAGTGACTGCTAGAGTGCTTAAATAAAGAAGTGATTAGCCCAGAAGCCCGGAAGTTAATTAAAACAGTAGCTGAGACCATCCATTTAGGCTCTTATGTAGTAGAATCAGTGGGATGGGGAGCTAAATTGGGCTGCTTAGATACCTTTGGGGCTTACTCTAATGAATCAGGACCAATAATAAGGGCTGCCAGCTTACCCAGGACTTCAGGAATTCAGGACATTCCTCTCCAGGAAAGACAGATGTTATTTTAGTTAAAGCAATGACTGTGGTAGATGGGGCAGAACCCCTGATTCTGATGAATTAGATATGTGGGTGGGGGAAAATATAAGGGAAAATGCTGTTGGACTAAATGTTTTTACAGGTTGATTGATGGTATATATCTATCTCTAATGCTCATTAAGTGGGCAAGACAAATCCTCTCACAATAGGATGCCTGCAGACTTATAGGTACACGGGCCTATAACCCTTCATATTTAAAGCCTGATCTTTGCATTACTTATCCCCCATGCCTGGAATTTGCTTCCTCCTTATCTCTACCTCTTAAAATTCCTAGTTTCCTTCAAATGCTACTTCAGTGAGCCTTTTTTCTGGTTCCTTCAGCTCCTAGTGCCTTGCTCCTCTTGAATTACTTTGTATTTATTTTTTATATGTTTCTTATGTACTTCTATACATGTGTGTTGTTTCCCCTGTAGAATGTAAGCTCCATGAGAGCAGGTACAATTTCATTTTTGTCTTTCTACTCTCATTGTCTAGCACATTATGCAGGAGCTTAATCAGTCCTTGTTGATTGATATGATTGATATATCCAGGGAGGACTTTCAATATGTCAAGAGAGAAACAGAAACTTATTTTTTTTTTAGGAGGTTGACTTAGAGTTATTTCCAGAGGAGAACAGAAAGGGGTACTTAAATTAATCAACAAATATTTGAGTGCACAGCTAGGGCTGGGGAAGCAGGATGTGGAAATAAGCTTCTTCATGGCACTAGGGACCATTTTCCATGTATTTCTCCTCCAGTGCTCCTAGCACAGTGTATTACACATATGCTTAATATACTTCAATGGATCCCTGACTTCATTCCTGTGTATATTCTTTGCAGTGAAGCAGATCACTGAATACATGAATGAATGTATGAATACATAGCTTCTCATCTGGTCTGATTACTGTTCGTGTTCTCCCATTATTGGAACAGAACATTGTTGTTCAGTTCTCCAGAACTGACCCACTCAACTTATTAGAGGCATTTCTCTACCATTTTGTGAAGTGTAACAAAAGAAAAAATAAGACTTTATTTTTACATTTTTTCTTACTTCTGGTATCTTTACCTAGTTTATTTCCAAGTGTAACTAACACTGGGTTTGTCCATCTATTGTTCCTTTTCTCCATACAAGAGCAATCCAACTTTTTTTCCCATTAGACATTTCCAGATAAATATTCCTTCTTGCACTTAGATCATTGTTGGAAATATTCTTCAGGCCACTTACCCCCATCATTCTTCTCTCCTTTGCCCTTTGGGTCGTTTGCAACTTTAATTCTTCTGTGAAAGTATTTTTTAGCTTTTGAAACTCTACAATCAGCTAACAAACTTGTATTAAGCACTTACTATATGCCAGGCACTGTTCTAAGCACTCTGGGTAGAAAGACAAAAAGCAGTTCCTGTCTTTAATGGGCTCACAATCTAATAGGAGAGATGTCATATAAATAACAAGGTACCTACAAGATATAAATGGTAGGTAACCTTGGAGGGTAAAGCACTTGCAGGCGAGAGGACAAGTAAAGGCCTACTGTAGAAGGTAGGATTTGAGCTGAGTCTTAAAGGAAGCCAAGGAAACTCAGAGATGAGGTGAGGAAGGAGGCATGGGGGATAGCCATTGTAAAGACAAGAAGACGGGAAATGGAGTGTTCTGTTTGAGGAGCAGCATATAGGTTGGAGGGATTAACTCATAAGAAGACTGGCAAAGTAAGGTGGAGGTGGTCATGAAGAGTTTTGAGTGCTGGACAGAGGACGTTACCTTGGGTGCTAGAGATAATAGGAATCTGATGTTTATTGTATAATGGGTGACAGACTTATATGCTAGAAAAATCACTTTGGCAGCACTGTCAGAGATGGATTGGAGTGGGGAGAAATTTGAGGCAATGTCGTGGGCCTGGCTCTAACAGGGCCATCAGAGGAAGAAAAACACTGGTCCTAACACAGGTAGGTGGCACAATGGATATAGTATAGGGCCTGGAGTCAGGAAGACCTGAATTCAAATCAGCCTCAGACACTTACTAGCTGTGTGAACCTGGTCAAGTCACTAAACCTCCATTTGCCTCAGTTTCCTCTGTAAAATAGGGATAATAATAACACCTACCCTCACAGCTGTTGTGAGGATCAAATGAGATAATAATTGTAAAGCTCTTAGCACAGTGCCTGGCACACAGAAACCTTTATAAATGTTAGCTATTATTATTATTATTATTAAACTAGTATGGTGGCTATGTGATCAAAGAAGGATACACACACACACACACACATACGAAATGTTGTAAAGGTAGAAGCTATAAAAATTGGTAATGATTTGGGTATGTGTAGTGAGTGAAAGCGAGGAGTTGAAGATGGCACTGAGGTTGTAAGCCTGGGTAACTAGAAAGATGGTCATGCCCTTGATAGTGATAGGGAAATTTGGAAGAAGAAAGGGCTTTGGAGGACTAATACTAAGTTTTGTTTTGGACATGTTGACTTTCAGATCCCTACTTGTAGAGGGCCAGCTCTGATCAGTCCAGAAAGGGTTAAAGAATTCAGGTTGGAATTTAACTTCTGCCTGCTCTTACCCTCAAGGGCTCTTGTTATCAGGATGTTGGCTCACCACTCTCCCATTCATTAAGGGGCTCATGGAGCTGCCCGCGACCTTGACACAATAAAAGTCTGGCATGAGAGATAACACGTGGCAAACTAGGGGGGACTAGTCATGTACTTTGAGATAAGTACCTGAGACAGCTCTGAGAATGATTGTTCAGGCCTATTAATTGCTATTAATCTCTGTCTTGTAACTATTTGCTCAAGAGGTATGTAATCTTTTCTCTTATTGATACTTTTATTGTATGCTCCTTTGATAAATGTCCTGAAAGCATTTTTTTACTGAGCTCTGAACCTTGAAAGTTATCAGTAACAGTCTCAGGATATGTTTTAGTTTTCCCACACAAAGGATCTTTTGAAGCTCCAAACATTTCCTATATATGCTGTGACCCTCAGATGAATAAACGGCTCAGTCTTCACTGACCCGCCTGGCCCACGTTTCTTCATTTCACCTGACCTGTCAGGTGTGACTCTTTGTTGCAGGCAACGAGTGGCACCCGAACAGGGACCTGAAAAAAAAGGTACGAGGGGAGCGGCTCTCTTGGGACTTGGGAGAAAATAGAAAAAAAGAAAAAAGAAATACCTTGGCGGCTCAACGCTGTGGAAACAAGGTAAGAGAGCGACGGTCATAAAATACATTCCTTTAGCAGTTTTAGAGCTAAAGGGACACCAGGCTAAGTGGGTAATAGAGAAAAGAAACAAAGGGGCTCGGTACTAAGAGCATAAGAAAATAGTGTCGCTTTGGAATGGCCACTCGCACATACTTTTGGTTTTGAGAGGCCCGCTTAAAGTCGAAAGTATGGGTCAAACACAAGGCGGGAACAAAGATAGAGAATATTATTTGAGACTTTTACAGAAAATAATGAAGGAAAGGGGTTTACTTATCACAAGCAGTCAGTTACAGGAATTTTTAGACTATGTTGAAACATGCTGCCCATGGTTTCCACAAAAGGGAACCATAGACTTAGAAAAGTGGGAGACGTTGGGCAGACAAATGAGTGAATACTATAGGGAAGTAGGTCCAGGCGCGTTCTCTATAGCTACATTTTCAATTTGAAAGGTGCTAAAAATATGTCTCACGCCCCCGGAGAATGTGCCATTAGCAACAAAAGCACTCAGGGTAGATGCAGGGGCGGGAACAGAGGAAGAAGAAGAGATGAATAAGGTATTTGATGAGAAGTTCAGAATTGTGGAGGAAGATGAGGAAGACATTATGTATACAGAACCTATTATACCCTCGGCTCCACTAAGGCCCCCACCTTCTTATAGATCAGGCTCCTATAAAGAGGAAAAAGATAATAGGGGATTAACACTCCTTGTGTCATGACCTTATTAGATAATATTGCAATTACTGTTCTCTGTCCTTTTGATTGGTGTACCATTGCTAAAATATGTCCAGAAAGGGGGGATTTTTGTTTTGAAAAATGAATTATTATAACTGTAGGAGAAGCTAACTCCAGTTTTTTGATTTTCCCTGTCATAATTATGTATCTGTTCTGTGTTTGTCTATGTGGTATGAATGAGTGTCCTGTGTGTAATTTGTCACCCTTTGTAGCCAGGTTGCAAAAATAGCATTCCAGTTTCTAAGACTGCAGCTGGACTCTGGAATGCTGCTTTCTTTCTCTCCCCTGCTCCCTCCCTGATTACAGCAGCCTCAGAGGAGCAGGTGGATGGGAGAGAGAAAGAGAGAAAAATACTTTATTATTTAGGTTCTATGATTGGTAAAAGGCAAGTTAAGAAGGATCCTTGAACTGTCAGGTCAAAATTAGAAAGAAATAAGATATGTGCAGTTTTAAAGGGAATTTAATCAAAGTCCATCAGAGGAAAAGGTAACAAAGTTTAAGCATATAGAAATGAAAGAAGTATAGGTAAAAAGAAAAGCATAATCTATTTGCAAGAACAATGTGTACAGAGGGTTTGGTTTTGAAACTTTTGAAGAATTGTTGGGAAAAATAAATCTTCTCTCTCTCTCTACATTCTAACTCTGGCCAAGTTTTGAATGCAAAGGGAAAGACAAGAAACAAAAAAGGGGATCAAAAACAGAGGTAGCACTTAATCTTTTCTGCCTCACATGAGAAAAGTTTTTGTGTACTGGAATACAATTAAAAGATAATTTAATTCATTCTGGTAATATTTTAAATGAAATGTGATGTTTTTAACTTAATGCTTAAGTCAAAATTTATTATACTGTTTGGCACTAAGGTAAATTGGGAAAATGTATGGATCTGAAATTTGTTAACTGGGTGACATTAAGCAAGTTACCTCAGTTTATCTCACATGATTCGAAGGTGCCTAACACAATGCCTAGCAGAGGGCAGACACTAAAAATGTTAACAACTATTATTATTAGTTCCTTAATTAGAGGTGACCAGTATACAATGTCAATGGTGAAGAGATGCCCGATTTTCTGTGTAAGGAAATTTGGAAATGCATTCAAAAGAATGGGAGTCACTTAATTGATAATATGTTTGTTTCAAATTTTAAACACCTAGAATTGTTGCATATTGGTAAAGTTTTTTATTGTTATGTCAAGCAGCTTTTCATAATTTGGATGTTATTGTAGTGTGAACTTAAAGAAACTAAAGGACAGTGAAAAAATTGTGTAAAACCAATTATATTACTTTGTCAGCTTTACTAGCCCTGTATTATAATGTTTTATAACTGCCATTTAGAAAACCAGGTATTTCCACCTTTACCTGTAATTAAAGAAGGGTTTATAGCTAAAACAATTTGACTATCACTTATGAAAGTTATAAGATTGTTAACTAAGTTATTTGAAGTTACTGTTTTAATGTTAAAACCTAGAATTGTTAATTGATTACTGTGTGAAAAGGAGGGGATTGGGTAAAAGCCTTATCCAGCTTGGTTCTGCCTATTGAAAACAGTCCTCCTTGGGATATCGGGGTCAGCAGGCAGGGGTAGCAAGATCAGCCCCTCCCTGGGGTATAAAGCAATTCCCCTTATTTTGTAAACTTGCCAAGGCCCTTGGAAACCATCTGTGTGGGCAAGGTCATCTGCCCTGAGAAAAGAACTTATTTAGGTTATGCAATTCCTAAACAATGAATTTAGCTTGCTGAGAATTTGCATGTGTATAGAAATGATTTCTAATGATTGGCTTTTACACCAGGACAAGTTTAAATTTTGGAAAGGAAAAATGCTAAATGAAATCTCTTATGTATGTGAGTCCTGGTAAATCTTTATTGCTTATTGCAACTCCATGATAATAAAATTAACTGTATCTGGCTTTAAGCTGTGATTGGTGAAACTTGCTGTTTGAGGTAAAAGGCTCTTGGGACTATAACTAATTTTGTTTTGAGTTTGAATTTGAATATAGTAGTCTCTATTAAATCAGTATCTGAGATAAATGCCACAAGTTACTCAGAGGGAATGTGATCCTGTACTGTTAACACGTGGAGGTCTGCATCTGGGAAAAGGCCGTGAGGACAATCTTAGCCTCAATCTAGGATGGGATCCTCCTGGCTCAGTTTCCCCATTGTATTCCTTTGAGAAGGAATGTTTCCCACCTGACTATTCCTGAGTCTGGCTATCATGTGAAATTGATACAGCTTGATTGGAGAACTGTGACTCTTATCTGAATTCAAGCAGAAACTAAGAATGTTTTATCTTGTCATATTTGGTATGTCACATGTTCCTGCCTTTTCCTTTTATAGTAGATTTCTCTGATCAGACCAAGTGGTTAATAAAAGACATGAGCACAATGTAAGTATGTGAAATCTTGTTGTTTTTAATCTGAATTTGTAGTTATCCCATGGCCTAAGTGTAAAATCAGTGTTTGAATTTATCATATGTAAAAGATTCAATTTCTGAAGTATAATTAGAGAAGGATAAATAAGTTTAAGATTGTGTATCTATTCTATAGTAAGGTTTAAGTTAGAACCTCTTTTGTTTAAGGCAATTTTTGCAAGAAATCCCCTTCCTAATGTAACCACCTCAGATGTCTTTGTCACACCCTTTTTCGTACTTGCCACTCCTTTACGGAAAAATTTTTCTATCTCAACACCCTGTTTCTCAATAGAGAATTATTCCCTTGCTTAGGAGACATCAATTGGCTCTGACCTTCCCTATCTATGACAACTGAACAGCTATCTAACCTTTTTGCTACCTTTAGAGAAGAGACACACAACCCCCCCCAACCCCCCCACCCCCATATCTCACTTCTGAAGTGGAAAAAAGAACTCTAATTAGAAGATTCAAAAATCTCTGAGCCTCAGCTTACTCGAATTAACCCCAATGAAGAAGTACAAGGGGTCATATTAGATACTCCTGTTTCCCCTACTGGGGCATTATTTCAAAATTCTGGAATCCTAAAGTGGATACACCTTCCCCATCAATTCCCCAATTCACTAACTATATATACTAGTATGGTTGCAATTTTAATACAACGTTTACATAAACAATATCTTTTACTTTCTGGCAATCTAATTCCTATTATTCATCAACCATACAATAAACAACAACTTAATTCTCTAATTGCCTCTTCAGAAGAATGGCAAGTAGCCATTATGGTTTACACTGGGAAACTAGACAATCATCCCCCATCTTTGAAATTATTCACTTTCTTTTCAAAATGCCCTTGGATTTTCCCAGATATTATATTTCCTTTCACCAACAACGCATACTGTCTGCTATTATACTGTTATTACAGGATGTTTCCGACCCTCTCAATATTATATCTGATAGTAAATACTCCATACATGTGTGCCAAAATATTGAGACCATAAAACTTAAACATGTCCTAGCACCTGATTTGTATTCTTTGTTTCAGCAACTACAACCACTACTTCATTATCGTAATAACCTTATTTATATCACTCATATTAGAACTCATTCTAATCTTCCTGGATCCTTAAGCACTGGTAATACAAAAATTGATTATCAATTACAATTTTTTCCAATTTTATTGCCCCTACAAATTCAAAAGGCTATTGATGCCCATACTTAGTTTCATCAAAATGCTAACACACTCTGTGGGCAATTTCGTATTACTAGAGAACAAGACAAACAAACAGTTAAAAGCTCTTCTCAATGTGTTATATATTCAACTCCTTCCTCTACTACTATAAATCCTAGGGGTTTACAACCCAACCACATTTGGCAAATGGACATAACTCACATATCCTTTTTTGGGAAACTGTTTTAGGTACATGTTACAGTAGATACTTATTTTTCATTCACTTTTGCTTCCCCTCAATCTGGAGAAACTACCAAACATGTTATTAATCATATGCTTCTCTCTTTTGCTTGTTTGGGCATTCCAAAACAATTAAAAACTGATAATGTTCCTGCTTATATCAGTTCTTCTTTTTTCTCTTTTTGTTCATATTATAATATTACTTTAATTACAGGAATACCATACAGTCCTACAGGACAAGCCTTAGTAAAAAAAAAAAAGACATCAAAACTTACTTAAATAAACAAAAAGGGGGAGTGTGGACTACTACCCCCTCCAGACAATTAGCCCAGGTTTTATATACCTTAAATTTTTTGAATTTCAATAAAGATGGGATTACACCTGCAGAAAAACACTTTAAAAAACGTAGATTTCCTGAAGCCAGAGTTATGTGGAAGGACCCACTTACAAGGAAGTGGGAAGGTCCAGATCCATTATTAACCTGGGGGCAAGGGTATGTTTGTGTCTTTCCAGAAACCTTTGATAAACCTGTCTGGATTCCAGAGAAAAATGTTCGAGCCTGTTCACTACTCACCACCCAGATGAAGGAATTGAACCTGCAGCAGAAACGGAAGCAAACTATGAAGAGAAAGAAAAGACTTACAATGATTCCCCTGCTCTCTACCCAGCCGTCATATGGACGTTGTGACCAGCATTGGACTTATTTTCCTTTAAAGCTTGTATAAAACCCCACAAGCATTTATGATAGCTTCCTCCTTCTCCAATAGTTTAGAACCTGGATTTGTGAACTTGACACAATCCAGTACTTTAAAATGGAATGTAACCTGTCTTAATTGTATTATCAAGCAATGTATTGATCGAAATGATAAGATTGTTCTATTGGTTGAGCAACCATCCTTTGCTGTTTTTTCCCACTAACCTTTCTCATGAATGGTTCCAATCTTCTAGGGAACATGCCCTTCAACTCATCTCATCATCACTACACAGGTCAAAAAGAGTTGTTGGGCTTCTCATTACTGGATTAATTTCTGTTGCTTCCTTAATTATTATATCCACCCTGTCTTCTATTGCATTGCAGTCAGAAATACAAGATGCACGATTTGTAAATGAGCTTGCAAAAAATATTAGCTTAGCCTTACGAGTTCAAGAAGCTATTGATAGGGATTTATCATATAAAGCTAGTCTGTTAGAGCAATCTGTGCTATATATAGGGGATGAACTTGCAGAGACAGAGTTTAGGGCAAAATTAAAATGTGATTATCGCTTTGCTATGCTCTGTGTCACACCAATACCTTATAACTCTAGCATAGTAATATGGGATGTGATTAAGTATCGTTTAGAGGGAATTTGGCATAATAGTAACTTTTCTGCTGATTTATCCTTTTTGACTAATGTTACTCAGGCAATTTCTGACAGTCTATTCCCAGGGATTCATCCTCAGAGTTTAGCACAAGAAATCTTAGAAAAATTGGGCTCGATAAATATATTCAAAAATACCTCTGCTTTATTACTTCATCTTTTTACTTGGGGAATTTTATTAACTCTAGTTTGCCTTGTTCTTCGTTGTGCAGCTGCATTGATAAAGTCATGGTTTAAATCTCTAGGCACCAATGTTCATCATCTCAAGCTTCAACAAAAACAAAAAGGGGGAGTTGTAGAGGGCCAACTCTGATCAGTCCAGAAAGGGTTAAAGAATTCAGGTTGGAATTTAACTTCTGCCTGCTCTTACCCTCAAGGGCTCTTGTTATCAGGATGTTGGCTCACCACTCTCCCATTCATTAAGGGGCTCATGGAGCTGCCCGACCTTGACACAATAAAAGTCTGGCATGAGGGATAACACGTGGCAAACTAGGGGGGACTAGTCATGTACTTTGAGATAAGTACCTGAGACAGTTCTGAGAATGATTGTTCAGGCCTAATAATTGCTATTAATCTCTGTCTTGTAACTATTTGCTTAAGGGGTATGTAATCTTTTCTCTTGTTGATACTTTTATTGTATGCTCCTTTGATGTATGTCCTGAAAGCATTTTTTTACTGAGCTCTGAACCTTGAAAGTTATCAGTAACAGTCTCAGGATATGTTTTAGTTTTCCCACACAAAGGATCCTTTGAAGCTCCAAACTTTTTCCTATATATGCTGTGACCCTCAGATGAATAAACGGCTCAGTCTTCACTGACCCACCTGGACCACATTTCTTCATTTCACCTGTCCTATCAGGTGTGACTCTTTGTTGCAGGCAACACCTACTAGACATCTAGTTCAAAATGTATAAAGTACAGTTGTATACAATGATACGAGCCTGGAGCTCAGGAGAGATACTAGGTGTATGGATCTAGGAATCTTCTGAATAGGCATGATAATTGAATCCATGGGAGCTGATGAGATCACCAAATAATATTGTATAGAGGGAGAAGAGAAGAGGGCCCATCTGACCTTGCAGGATGCCTATGGGTAGTAGGTGCAACATGGATGAAGAATTAGCAGAGGAGATTGAGAAGAAGCGGAAAGATAGGTGTAGAACTAGGAGGCAGTAGCATTACAAAAACCTAAAGAGGAGAGAATATTCAGAAAATGATGGATAGTGTCAAATGATACAGAGAGATCAGGAAAAATGAGAATTGAGAAAAAGCAATTAGATTTGACAATTAAGAGATCATTGGTAACAACATTTCTGGAGAACAGTGGTATTAGGAAGATGTGTTTTTGTGTGGAAGGACAGTTTGAAATAAAAATCTCTGCCTTTGTCTCTGTCTTTATGTCTCAATATAGATGTAGCTATAGATATTTAAATTGTCCAAAACTGTAATTTTGTCTTTGTGGGGAATACCTTGTTTGGAAAGTCCCTCCACAGATACAGCAACTCCTCTGACTTAATCTTAGAGAGTTGCCTACAGCAATTAGAGATTTAGGGACTTACACTTAGTAAGCATATGTCAAGGGCAGAATGTGAATCTGATATAAAGACTAATACTATAAGCAAGCTGGGAGAGCAAGGCATAGCTTATCTGTCAGATTTATGGAGAACAGAAGAATTTATGACCAAATAAGAGATAGAGGACATTATGAAATGCAAAATGGATAACTTTAATTACATTAAATTGAAAGTTTTTGCACAAACAAAGCCAATGCAACCAAGATTAGAAGGAAAGTAGAAAATTGGGAAAGAATTTTTACAACCAGTGTCTCTGATAAGGGCCTCATTTCTCAAATATATAGAGAACTAAGTCAAATTTATAAGAATGCAAGTCATTCCTCAGTTGATAAATGATCAAAGGATATGAACAGGCAGTTTTCAGATGAAGAAATTAAAGCTATCTATAATCATATGAAAAAATGCTCTAAATCACTATTGATTAGAGAAATGCAAATCAAAAAAACTCTATGGTACCACATCATACCTATCAGATTGGCTAACATGGCAAAACAGGAAAATGATAAATGCTGGAGAAGATGTGGGAAAATTGGAACTCTAATGCATTGTTGGTGGAGTTGTGAACTGATCCAATCATTTTGGAGAGTAATTTGGAACTATGTCCAAAGGTCTATAAAAATGTGCATACCCTTTGACCTAGCAATAGCACTTCTAGGGTTATATCCCAAAAAGATCATAAAAATGGGGAAAGGACCCATATGTACAAAAATATTAATAACAGCTCTTTCTGTAGTGGCATAGAATTGGAAATTGAGGGGATGCCCATAAACTGGGGAAGGGCTGAACAATTTGTGGTATATGAATATAATAGAATACCATTATACCATAAGAAATGCTGAACAAGCAGACTTCAGAAAAACCTGGCAAGACTTCTATGGACTGATGCTGAGTGAAGTGAGCAGAACTAGGAGAATGTCATACACAGTAACAGCCACATTGTTTGATGACTAACTTTGATAGACTTAGCTCTTCTCAGCAATGCAAGGATCTAAGACGTCTCCAAAAGTCTCATGATGGAAAATGCTATCCACATCCAAAGAAAGAACTATGTGGTCTGAATGCAGATTGAAGCATACTATTTGCTCTTTTTTTCCTTCGGTTTTGTTTTGTTTCTTCTTTCTTATGCTTTCTCCTATTGGTTCTAATTCTTCTTTACAACATGACTAACGTGAAAATATGTTTAATAGGAATGTATATGTAGAGCCTATATCAGATTGCACACCGTCTTGGGGAAGGAAGTGGGAAGGGAGGGGTAGAAAAATCTAAAACTCAAAAGCTTGTGGAAGTGATTGTTGAAAACTAAAAACAAATTAATTAATAAAAAAAAAGAATGTGAAACTGAATTCTCTTGACTTCAGAACTGCTTTATATATATCCCCACAGTACTTAATAAACACTTGAAAATGTTTTCAAATGAACGAAAAAAAGAAGCAAAAGACATAGTTCTCCATTGTAAAATGTGAGAGCTAAACTGGACAGCCTCCAAGGTCATTTGACCTTTAGATCTAGGACCTTACAATTCTATAGTTCTTGTCCCCAGGGAACTTACAGGCTGGTTGGGGAGACAAGGCTTGTGCCCTCCCAAAGGGAAATAACAACACCTGGCAATAAATGAGTGATTTAAACAACAGGTGCCATGGAAGTGTAGAGGAAGTCTGGAGAGCATTGTGGGCTGGGGTGGTCAGTGAAAGATTGATGAAAATGGTGGCATTTAGACTGGGTCATGAATGATTCAGATTTAGGTGTGTGTAGTGGGAAAAGAAGGAGGAGGGCTGACCAAGTTGGATATTGGCATAAACAAATCTACTGATGTGGGAATATATGAGGCATATTGGAGGTTTGTGCAGTGGAGGGAAATGAGTTGATTAATATGGTTAATTAAAGGAAAAGGAGGAGGAGATAAAGCCAGAAAGTTAGACATCGATTGAATCATGTTTTAGAGAGGACTTTGTGTATCTGGCTAAGGAATTTGGACTTTATCCTGTAAACCAAAGGAAGCCATTAAACATTGTTACTAGGAATTATAGAGGAGGGAGGTGGTGCAGTAGATAGACCACTGGGCTTGGAATGAAGAGGATTTTATCTTCATGAGTTCAAATCAGGCCTCAGACCCTTATTAGCTGTGTGACCCTGGGCAAGCCACTTAACTCTTTTTGCCTCAGTTCCTCATTGATAAAATGAGAGTTGGAGAAGGAAATGGCAAACCTCTCCAGTGTCTTTGCCAAGAAAACCTCAAATAGAGTCATGAAGAGTCAGACATGACTGAACAACAACAACAAACTAAGTATGATAGTCTATATTGACACTGAGGTTTTGGGGAGCCTCTCTGAGAACCATATTTGCAGCAATCTTTTTCCACTCTGGATATCACCCTACTTTTCTGGAAACTCTGTAACCTATTACAGTGAAGTTGATCTTTTACCAACTCCACAACCCAAAAGCCCAAAATGTAATTACAAGGTGTTAATGAGGTATTAAACTAACTATAAAGATTAACTTATACTCTGATACTACAGTTTGCGCATAAATTTCTCTTACAGAATTAAAGGGGGTAACCTCATTGGATGAGCAAAAATTAGACACACTTTTAAAGAAGCCCAAGGGGTAGCAGTTCAGTTTCGGGGGAGTATAGGTTTGGAGTGTTTTGTGGAGGAGACTTTTGGGGGGATTTCTCTCTCCTCTCCTATACCCAATTGTTTATGTAGTCTAGAGGGGAAGGAGAGGAGTGGGAGATATCATTCCTATACATTGGTTTAAGAGGTCATCATTTGGAAAGAGTTTGAGACTGAGGTAGCACAGACACACATTCCAGATAGACACTCAAACAGTCACTCAAAGGAGGAAGGTAGATGTTTGAGAACTCAGTTCCTGGCAGTGGAGAAGAGAACAAGTACAGAGAGAAGCAGATCTTGAGAACCAAGTTGAGCAACCACCAAGCAGAGATTATATGCCCAAGGGAAGCTACAAAGAGAGAAAAGTCTTATAGGCCCTGCAGTGCCAGGAGTTGTGAGTTACCTTTGTGACACCTACATTCTACAAACACATTTGCCTCATTACTATTGTACTATAAGTTTGAGTTGATTCTTTCCATGGACTCTGTATATTTGTGCCCCAGTTTTATGGGAGAAATGTTTTGTAGTTGTTGTTTCTGCTATACCACCATAGTAAATGAATTTGCCATGAACTAATCATGTCTACTGGATGATTGTTAATGGAAACTACATTGATGCGGGTGGGGCATTCCTGAATGATTTCGTTAGGAATGGAATACTTACGAGATTACCCCTAGAACCAGAGAAGTAACCACCCTCTGGGGGAGCCAACCCAGTATGAGTGCAAGTTAGAGAGGTATGGATCCTGTATGGATACTGCAGTACTCCTGCTCTCTGTTTTTGATTTATTACTTCTCTGCCTGTCATATCAGAGGTAGGAAAACAACCCATGCCCAAATTAGGTCTATTACATTCCACTCCCATACAGCTCTGGATCTTGTTCGCCTTATCAAACTATGTCATGGTAATGGACTCCACCTTCCTTCTACGTCTATTAGGAGAAGACTTCTCTTCAGCTGGGTTAGCCAAGACTTCTCTGGCGAACTTGAAAACCATTGCATGGAAAGGTCCATCAACTTTCCTGGTTAGATCATTTCTTTGATGACCTGGCTCTCTGTCCCTGGCCTAGATATTTCATTACAGGCCTTGGACCTTCCTTTGTGTGATTTTAAATGAACAATAAAAGCCTATCCATTACTGGCTTGCCTGATTCTTTTGTTAAAACCTTCATAATTTTCCAAGTTGCTGGTAAGGACTGGTAAAGCAAGGATAGATGAAAGTAGTATTTTAAGATCAAATTGATGATTCAAAACAATTAGGACAGGGAAAGACTATGGACAATGAGAGCAATTAACCTACAATAATAACAGTGAAGCAATTTAAAGTTTATGAAGCATTTTGCAGCCTTGTGAAGTAGACAAGATAAGAAATATTGTACCCATTTTATAAAAGAGGAAACTGTGGAATAACTACCCTAAGTCACAAAAGTAGATGTCAGAGTCAGGATTTATACCAAATCCAGTGCTCCTGCCGTGATAACATGATGCCTCTGAATCAAGCCAGTGTAAATTTTCAGGAAGTCAGATGAAGAAATGAGACTCTTCCTCATCTCCTCCCTCTCTCCCCCAACTACTTATATAGTTGAGTGACTAGAGCCCTGGGACTGGAAGCAAGAACATTTGTTCTAGTCTTGACTCAGTCCTTTTTTACTGTACCAGTGGCTTATGAAACTTCCTTTCTGCATCACCACTGTGGCTAAACTAATTTCCTTATGTTTTTGCACGTAAGATGAGTATCTCTGCCTTAATAATCGGAATGGGGTAGTGGAGAAGAGCAAGCTTCAGAGTCAAGAAGACCTGCAGTCTAGTCCTGCCCCTGCCATACATTGTCTCTGTGTCCTTGGACAGATGAGTTAGAACTCTCACTCAGTGCCTCAGGTAACCCTTTACCACTCTAAGCTGAGGAACACTAATATAAGATTATTTGCCCACATATATGACTATGTATGTGAGGATTATTTAGATTAAAGCATATATATGTATATGTATATGCATATATGTGTGTGTGTGTGTGTGTGTGTGTGTGTGTGTGTAGATGTGGCTCATGTGTAGCATGAATAGATATGATCTGAGGTCTGTCCTGCCTCTGAAGAGCAGGAAAAGGTCTATGCCTGTATAGCCCCTACTAGCTGGGAGGAGGTGTAAGAAAGTTCTGGTAAAGCTGAGGCTGGGTAATCTCTTCTCTAGTCTTCAAGAGGGGT